CTGGCTTCGGGGGAAGAAGGGGGTGAAAATGTAAAGAGTGTGGGGGGGAGAGCAAAAGGAGGGGAAGAGGCCGGAGCAAAGGGGGGAGCAAAGGGTGGGGGGGTGGAGAGAGCCAGGGCAGCCTTGGGGCCAGTAACTTGGGGTGGGGAGGTGGAAGAGAGCCAGGACAGGACAGGGCTGCCACGCCTCGGCCTGGCCCTCTCTGGTGGCCGGAGTGAGAATGGTGAAAATGGTGTGATCTCCGGGGGAGAGCAAAAGGAGGGGAAGAGGCCGGAGCAAAGGGGGGAGCAAAGGGTGGGGGGGTGGAGAGAGCCAGGGCAGCCTTGGGGCCAGTAACTTGGGGTGGGGAGGTGGAAGAGAGCCAGGACAGGACAGGGCTGCCACGCCTCGGCCTGGCCCTCTCTGGTGGCCGGAGTGAGAATGGTGAAAATGGTGTGATCTCCTGAACACTACAGACTTAAAGGCAGAAGTTCTGTAGCTGTCAAGGAAGATTTTAAATCCTGACATACAGGCTACATCTACATTGGCCCCTTTTCCAGAAGGGGCATGGTAATTTTTGAAATCGCAATAGGGAAATGCGCGGGGGATTTAAATATCCCCCGCGGCATTTAAATAAAAATGTCCGCCGCTTTTTTCCGGCTTTTAGAAAAGCCGGAAAAGAGCGTCTACACTGGCCCCGATCCTCCGGAAAAAGCGCCCTTTTCCGGAGGATCTTATTCCTACTTCGAAGTGAATGCCATGCTGGAGCCTACACATTTATTTGAAAAATAAAATTTGCAAAATTTTAAAATACTGTGCACGGAATTTTTAATTTTTTTGGTGCAGAATGGCCTTGGGGAGTAATGTGATGAGATAATGCACTCAAGAAGAATCAAGTGAAATCAGTGTTAAGTCAATTAGCTCCTCCCTAAAGGCCTTTTGGTACCTCAGCTTTACTGAAAAAATTTACATTAATAATTTAGCTCCAAGTATTTTTATACTCTATATCAGATCGTCACACCCCCTTTTAAAGACCATTATTAATTGCAGATTCTGAACAAAGGCTTCACTTTACTGGAGGCTACTTGTATTAATTATGACAAATTCATATCTTGCTGTCATGTGTAAAATTAAACACATGAAATTCCACTTGTGATTAAAGCAGTCCCTCTTTACACCCATTAGCATTTCATACGGACATTTAAGTTCAATAATAAACTGGACTATAAACCATAGCTGCTTTTGCAACATAAAAGTGTTGATAGCAACTATAAACTACAATCAAGTATACTTTAACCTCCATACTTTTGGGTATGACCTCTGGCAGGAGTAGGAGGAAGCAGTTCTGCACACTGCTGCCTCCCTTCTCCCCCAGCTGGAGGAAACAGTGACTTGCTCTGCCAAAGGCTTTTCCCTGCTGCTATGGACAGTGCACAGGAGTCTTATCTGTTTCTCAGAGAAGAGGGCTGTACCCTCAAAGAGAAGGTCCAGTATTGTTGTTGAACCTTGTAAGATAGGCCCAAGACTCATAGTCAAGTCACCCTTTTCATGGCAATGCCAGTGACCATGACCCGTGTAGCTGCATCTGCAGCATCTAAAGCAGCCTGCATGGATGCCCTGGAAACTAGTCTCCCTTCTCCAATGTTACCGAGAATTTAGCCTGAGAATCTTGAGGGAGTAGTTCTGTAAATCTTGACAAGAAGCTATAAGTGTAAAAAGCCATATCTGCTAATTAGCACTTGCTGGTTAGCAATGTGGAGTTGAAGACCCCCTGTAGAGTAGACCTTCCTGCCACAAAGGTCCAAAAGTTTTGCCTCTGTTCTTCGGAGAAGGGCTCTGAAGACCTTGGCTTTCCTGGTTGCTAGCTGCATTGACCACTAGAGAATCTGGGGGGAGGGTGAGAGCATAGATGTTTGTAGCCCTGTGATGTGACAAAGTATCACCTCTCATTACACAGTGGGTAGCAAAAGGACTGGTGTCTGCCATAGTGTCTTAGTGTCAGAAATGGACCAAACGAGAGGCAAGGCAATATGGCCGGGGTAGAGAAGACAAGTCTCCCACAGGATCAAGATCAACTACAACTTCCTCTGCTTGACTGTTAAGATCCTGGGCCATCCTTCTAAGAAATTTATAATTCTCCAACACAGGGGCTGGAGTTGAGCCTGCTAAATGCCTCATATGAAGAGGATGAGGAGGTGATGATGGTCAAAGCCTAGAGCTCTTGTTGGAAAGGGCCTGTTAGGGAAGGTGGTGGCACTGATGCACTGGCACATATTAACAGTGCCGAGGGAGGTCTTGAAAGTGTTGGTGTCTGCATCTGTGCAGTGGTTGATACTGGCACCTGAATCTGTATTGGGATAGCAGCTTCATTCAGGGCCAGTGCTATTGACAGTACAGGTGTTGGCGCCAAGGAAGCAGGTACCGATGCCGGTGTTGCAGCCTGAGTCGGAGGCCAGGCTGGAGTGAGGAGCACCTGCAGTGCCAGGCCCAACAGGAGCCTTGACGTCGAGGCATGTATATGCTCTGAGTGGGTTGAGATCTCCATTACATACGCTGCCACGGAAGCTGATGGTGCCTCTATCTGATAGAGGCTGCAAGGCAGAGAAATTGACTAGTTGACTGACTATCTGATAAGCATTTGCAAGGGTTGCAAGGCTGGAATGAACGATGCCTCCCCCTGTATGATTCACGAGTGGCTCAGGGAGCATTCATGCAATTTAGCTCTACATTCTGATGGCTGAGCTATCACAGCATCGGGAGGGGTACTGCTGCTTGTCTCTGGCATAGCATTGTGTGAAAGTCGAGGCTAGAGAGTAAAGAAAGCTCAGCAGGTCGTACCGAAAGAATCCCATTACACTGACATACTCTGAAAAGGGAAGAGGGAGTTTTAGAGTTGTCAGGTAAAAAAGTGTTAACGTACCATGTCAGTCATCAAAACCCAGTATAAATTCCTTTCTATGAAATCTGTATTAGGGGAAAAGCAATGAAAACAAAGAATGTGAAACTAGACACAAACATAAAATTCAGTACATCATAAAAAGAACCATGACCCCAATCATGGAGTCAAGAAAAGGAAAAGCTGCATTAAAACTAAGGAAGGCAGCGCATATTACAAAGCCACGTATTCATTCCATCTGGAATGCTGTTGAAAAAGGTTTTGAAAATCCCAAAAAACTGGAGATGGATACTACAAGTAGGGATGTAAGGAAGTAGTCAACTACCTGATAAGCCTATGCTTGTCAAGTAGTCGAGTTGACCACTCACTTTCCCTCCTCCCAGCATTGCTGCTTCTGTGTAAGAGGCAGCATGGGTGGGCGGGGGAAGCAGGAGCCGGTGCTGGGCAGAGCCAGCAAGTCAGTTCCTCCCAGCACCATCTCCACAGTGTGTGTGTGGGGGGAGAGGAAGGAGCGAAGGCAGAGCCACAGCAGTCCCAGAGCCAGTGCAAACCAAGATTGTTCAGTACTGCCTTGTGCCGCCCTTAGGAGCTAACCCCACTGCAGCTCTGCAGTTTAAATGTAGTAAGAGCCCAGCTCTTACTAACCCCCGCTATGCGCCCAGTTTCTTCTACATTTAAACTGCAGAGCTGCAGCGAGGGTAGAGAGCAACCCCCCTCATCGACTAATCAAGTAGTCAACGAAGTTCCTTTGACTACTCAATTAGCTAATTAATCAGAACTTAACATCCCTAACTGCCAGAGGAAAAGAAAAGCACTGCATACTACAACATAGGGATATTAAAATGTAGGTAATTGGCTAATCATGTAACCACTGAAAATTTTGGTGTTATAATATATAAGAACATTAAAAATTAGCTGGATGACCAATAATACAATTAATGAGGTTATGACAAGTTTGGATTTTTTTTAAAGCCATATGTTTCCTCCTCATCACTACCAAGCAGACTTTTTAAGTTCTGGAAGGTTATTATTCAGATACACATTTTGCACACTTAAGCAGTGCAAATATGTACACACATGGTATGCCTTTTACATTTTAAGTTTTTCCAGTTTTATAAAAAATTCTGAATTAGTTAGACATTTTAATCTGAAGAGTTTTGTTTACAATATTATCTTTTGAGACTCCTAGTGATTCCATCTGTAGTCAGGAAAAGTAGAAAGGTAGTTTATAAAACCCCCTCACCTTTCACATTTGGAAAACTGCATGCAACTAGTGCAGCTTTTTATTTGTGAAACAGCATCAGTCATGTTAGCTTAGTTTTAAGAAAATTTGAAAATAAGGACTTCAGTTCTTCAAACTCTTGTGCAAGTGATCAACTTTACACAATCAAGTGCTCCCATCCTTGTTACACATCAATCTGAAGTTGGATCAGATCCAAGTCAATGGAAAGAATTTCTGAGTTGGATGGCATCCCAAATTCTTTTTGCAGAACAGAAGCCTAAAGGTTGCTATAATACAGTACATGGCTAAGGACAGGGAACCCATTTTCAAGACATTTCTTTAAGCCTTAAAATAAGTTTACTTCTTTCAGCATTTTGCAGAACCATGGAAGCACTAGTGGCCATAACATTCAGAACTATATTGATTTTCTTATCTAGATGTTGCAATATCTTTACAAATTTTAATGTAAAATGTTGCTAGAGTCATTTGATAAGATGTATTAATCAGATCTAATAAAATTTGTGTTATGTAACTAATTATGGTGCTAATGCAATAGAAGTACAGTAGAACCAGAGAGTTATAAACACCAGAGTTATGAACTGACTGGCCAATGACACAAGTATGTATTCAGGAAGCAGAACAAAAAAAGAAAGCAAATATTGTACAGAACAGAAGTATGTTAAACTAAAAAAGGGGGGGGAAACTAAAAAAAACTGCCAAGTAAATTGTTTGTGCTTGCTTCATATAAATTAAGATAGTTTAAAAACAGCATTTTTCTTCTGCATAGTAAAGTTTCACAACTCTATTAAACCAATGTTCAGTTGTAAACTTCCAAAAGAAAAAACATTTTGTTCAGAGTTATGAACATTTCAGAATTCTGAAAAACATCTATTCTTGAGGTGTTTGTAACTGAGGTTCTTCTATATATATCTATATCACTCATTAATATGAGCACTAGCATGAAACCCGCTCTGAAAGATTTATCAAGTTAAGTTTTTCCTCCTGTACTTCAGGTCAGAAACTGGCTAAATGTATTCAAGGCTTTCAGTGACCAAGTCACTGAAAAGCTGAAGTTAGTCACAAATGAATCAAATAAATGATAATAGTGTACTGCTTTTTATGCTTGAAGAACAGTGTCTTTAATCTCTCTATAGAACCATGTATGTCTACGATCAGTGGCACAAATGTTTATTATAACAAATCTTTATTCCATTTATATACTTAAAAATCTGATATCTAGAACACAAGTGCTTATTTATTTTGGCACTTACAAACTACACATACCTACATTCAACTAAGCTTCCTGCATGTTAATACACTTCATCGTCATTAATGTTTACCTCCATTTCCCACAGACACCTGAAATGACTTATCATCCATAGTTATTTAACAGTAAAGGAATAATACAGTTATTTACATTGACCAACGTAAAGCAGAAAACATTCACTTTCTCTCAACATTATGAATCACCTAAATCAGGAGAGGGGGAACCTTTTTTGGGTTGGGGGCCATTGACTCAGAAGAAAAAAAAATCAGTCAGGAGCCACAAACAAGAAGAAAAAAAAAAAAAAATCAGTCAGGAGCCACAAACAAGTGAAGAAACAAAAACAAAAAACCCCACCATCCCTCACTAATGTGGCCCCCAAGTGAGAAGCAGGGGGGGGGAAAAAGGACATTCGTCTCACTCATGCAACTTGAACCACCAGGTTCCCCTCGTGTTCCAGACCCACTTGAGGAGGGGGAAGACGTGAGACTCAGGGCTTCCCCCTAGGGAAGGATTAACTCTTACGAAGGCCTGAAGCTAGTAGATTTTGTGGCACCTCCTAGGGCTTTGGGGTGGACACAAAAATGAAGGTATCAGTGTTTGAGAGGGGGCTGCCAGAGAGCAAGAGGTTGGGGCAGTAGACTGGGGCACTTACCTTGCACAGCTCCCATTTGGCAGGGGGCACCTTGTGCTGACAGGCACTGTCTCCCCACTGGCTGCAATTGCTAGCCAATGGAAGTGACAGAGGTGGAGGCCTGCAAGCAAGTGCAGAGACTTGCTCTGCCATTCCCCCAGCCACCTCCTCCATGCAGGGGCTTTAGTGCTTGGCTCTCCACTGCTTCACCTTGCAGCAAGAAGCCAGCACTTGTGCTCCAGCCATTCTTGGAATCTTGCCACGGGGTTTGCTAGCACCAGCACTCGCTGGGGGGGGGCTAAAACACAGAGCCTCACTGTGGACTGGATCAAGACAAGCCAGGAGCCAGATCTGTTTGTTCCCATCTCTGGTCTAGATTTTTAGACTTACACTTCTGATTTTCTCTACTGGGATTGCATTCATTGGTGCCATACCATAGGAAAAGTGGGACTGCCAGGGAAGACTAACTCAATTCTATGACAAAAGGTTGCTTACCAGTAAACATTTGCCCATGCTACAAGTTCAATCATCTCAAACTCACCTGATTTAGTTCAACATAATTTTATTATAAAACTACTGTGTAGTCAAAATTCAGGCAGTTCCACAATTCACATAGTGAGAACCAATGTTTTTTTTGTAAGAAAAAGAAAAAGGTGCCAGTACTCCAGGCTCAAGCTTGTTGAGGAAACACCCTCCGTCCTCCCTCTCCCCCGCCCCCATATACACAACCAACCACACTAACAGCCAAACTGCGGTCGCGGCCCCTTTAAGAGCCAAAACGCTGAGTTGGGAGCCAGAAAAAAAATGCCTCGCGTCCTGAGCAGGCTTCTGTCAAGAGACAAGCAGCGCCAGGAAAACAGGTGCCTGTATGCAGGGGGGAAATGCCATTCTTTTACTGTGTCCTGGGAAAATAGGTGACGGTACGCCGTTCTGGGCCGTATCGTCACAAAAAAAGCACTGGTGAGAACACTAAAAAGTGCAAGTTGAGAAAGCATGTCTAAAACAATGAATACACAGTGAGTTTGGCATATTTCAGTGCTTTTGCTGAATTTTATTTTTAAGTTATAAAGATGTTTGGCCGTTCATATACCTATTCAAGGTGCAGAGCTATATGAAAATCAAAGAATACCATCATACCGGTCCCATGACTTTACACATTCCCACAGGTCACAATTGGGTCCAAATGCAGTAGCAAGAATGCTCTAACAGACGATGTTAACTTCCATTTCTGATGTGGTGGGATTAGTTGCTTTAGATCTGCCAGTAACAACAGAAAGCTGAACCAATATAAAAATATTTCTTGTTTCAAAACCAAGTACAGTATAATATTTCTACAGTATTGTAAAATGGCCAGCATGGCTCATCTAATCAACTGCTTAATAGGGTTTTAATATTATTGAAGCATTGTTGCAGAACATGTCAAAGAAGTGGTATGCGATACCATGACATTCCGTTTGCGATCTCATTTACTCTTTGTATACAAAGTTAATCTAATGTGGACAGGACTTTGTGGCTGTGTCTACTAGTGATGTTAAAAGGCATTTAAATAGTTAACCGATTAAACGTCAAAAATTTTATTGTTTAACTGGTCAACTGCCTGCCCTGCCTCAGCTGCTCCAATATGGCTGGGAAGGAAGGGAAGCTGCTGCTGGCC